GAAAACTTAGCTCTAGGATACCCTATGGGAATGTAAAAGGGTTCTCAGATAAAGCAATGTACTCCCCCACTTCAGACCACATACCCCCAAACTGGACTATGCAGTCCCAGAATCACAAGGGCAGCATAGCTGCTGGATACTTGTTGCTAGGCAAAAAGAGAGGAGCAGAGAAGAAACTTGAGTGAGACATTCTCCTTCCAATGTGTAAACTTTAAAAGGGCATGACTATTGGTTTATATCAGCCTATAGTCCCCAGAGAATCAATTGGTCTATACATTTCAATGTGTGCCATTTTAAAGGAAAGTATTTGATAGACTCTGCTAATAACCCCACAATGCCTTCTGTACATTATAAAAATAAGCATACAGGGCAGCTAGGTGGCATAGTGGATGGAGCACTGGGCCTGGAGTCAGGAGGACCTGAGTTCCAATGCAGCCTCAGACCAGACACTTGACAATTACTAGCTGTGTGACCCTGGGCAAGTCACAACCCCAATTGCCTCACCAAAAAAAAAAAAATGAAATAAAATGAGCACAGTCAAAAGTTAGTGTAGGCCTGGGGGTGGCTATTCTCATACATCTACAATTCTTGAACTACTGCATAGTTGACGTAATAAAATGTGTTTCACCTTACTCTTATTTGTGAATAAGAAGTATATTTTGGGAAGAGGTGGAGGAATGATTATTCATATGTAGTCAAAGATGGCAACGGATATAACATCTTTAAAGAGAAGCAATAATCAGTGGTATGCAGGTCACCTAACCTGTATTAGTATCATACAGTTGTTGATTTCTGCCTTTTTTTTTTTTAACCAATCAGGTTTAAGCATTTTTCAGTTTGTTTCTGGATATTATTCTGGCTGGAAGCCAGGAGAGAAGGTAATATAGTTTATGGTTTCATGCTCATGAAATTATAGACTTGGAGGGAGTTTCATATCTGTTGGCTCTGAGAAAGTTAAGCTGTATATTCACAATGCCACTAAAAAGGCTTTTACTAATTTTTTTCCAACTGATTAGTTTTTCTGATTGTATGTATTCTCATGTGTGTTTTTAACTGATATGACAAGATAGTCTGAAATTATATGCTTCATTTTGACACCTGTGATGTTTTAGTAGATTAATGTTTTCAGTGGAAAATGTTTTTTAGGAAATAGTATTTTAGCTAACTTCCAAATAATGGTGATGTTGCTCAGCTATACATTGGCCTTGAATAGCGATAGAAAAAAAACAAAAATCAGAAGATGCAAAACACTAGATTGAACATATAATGTTGCATTGGGGCTGGCCACTGCCTTGTAAAGTTACCTTTTAATTCACTTTATAAGTACAGTGAGTTTTTCAAAAAGTACATCTTTCTTCTTGCAGTTTATGACTGAGGTAGAACACATTAGATGAGGTAGAGATTCTTTGGATTAGCTGTACAAAAAACATGGGGATATTCCAGGAATAGAAGTCATGATGGTTTCAGATATTAATATCATTGTAGAATCTTGTCTATACTAGTTAACTCAATCCATTAGAATATGATTTAGTAAAGCCAAGGATATGAGGTCAGATGCATATAGATCACACATTCAATCAATCAACAAGCATTGATTAAGCACTTCTGTGCCAATGGTGCCACAGTGGACAGAGGGTCAGACTTGGAGTCAGGAAACCCTGAGTTCTAATCTGGTTCCAAACACTAACTGGCTGTGTGACCCTGGCCAAGTCACTTAATCTCTGTCTGCCTCCATTTCCTCATCTATAAAATAGAGCTAATAATAGCACCTACTCCCAGGTGTATTGTAAATTACTGTAAATATAAAATGAGATAATATTGGTAAAGTGCTTTGCAAACCTTAAAATGCTATATAAATGCTACCTAGCTAGATGCTAGATGCCATGCTAAGTGCTAGAGGTACAAAGAAAAAAGCAAAATAGTGTATTCCTCAAAGAGTTTCTATTCTAATAGGAGAAACAACATTTACATAAATCAGTACATACAAGATAAATACAGAATAGATGGAAGGTAGCATTAAAGGGGGAGGATTGGGGAGGGGGTGAGAATTGGTGGAAGGAGGGAAGAACTCCCCAGAAAAAGCCTCCTGGAGGAGGCAGGGCTTGAGCTAAGTGTTAAATGCTGCCAATATAAAGGCCTGGAAACATGAGATGGAGTTTCATGTATGAGGGAACAGCAAGCAGACCCGCATATAGCTACATCCCCATTAGTGCAAATAATGAATCCCCTGAAGTAGATGGAAGTATTCAAACTCACACTGTTCAAAGTTATATGAAATACGGTGATTGGTTATAGTCACTGGAAATGTGCTGGGTTAATTCAAATAATGCAACCATTTCAGGGGGATCCATTATTTGCTCTAACTGGGACTTCACTTAGCCTCACAGAAAGAGAAACTGTGCTCCATATCAATGATGTGTACCCAGAACACACCCAGACATTTTGTAAATACTTGTCTGTAGTCATAAGGGGATATGGGTGAGAAAGTGGTAATCGCACATCAAATCTCCAAATGCAGTGGCCTTTTCTTCAGTTCTCATTCCTCCTGAGCCCTTGGCTGCATGTGATGCTACTGACTGTATCATCATTTTGGATTCTTTCTTAACCCTTCCCCTGAGACATCACACTTTGCCATTCTAACCAGGTGCATCTTCTTATCTTTTCTTCTCAGCTCTTTAATGTGAGTGGTGTTCCCAAAGGTTCTGTCCTTGGCCCTTTTCTCTTCCCTGTCTCTCTCTCTCCCCCTCCAGTCTCCCTCTCTCAGTAATCTCATCTACCACACCACCTTGCTCCAGGTTCAATGACCGCTTCTTCAGAAATTATTCCCAAATCTGGATATTTACTTCTGATCTTTTCCCTAAGCACTAAACCTATACATCTCTGCCTCATTTCTTATCTAGCCTTAATTACTGAACGGACATTGCCTCAGTCAAACTGAGACCTGTTAAAGACCTAAGCTTAAGAAGGCCAAGGTCTCCTACTGTATCCAGGGTATCTCCATTGGTCCTGATCTATATCTTGCCAGTGGAGCTGGATGGTTCTGGAGGAGAAAGTAAGACTGGTGACTTTGCACAGCCCTCCCTCACTTACATGTCATACCATAATCTCCTTCATGTCATGGTCTTCTTCAAGAATGAAGGACAAATAACAACAACAAACCCATATATCCTATTGTGTAGGGGAATATTTACCTATGGTGTCCTAAACTCAACTTTTCCAAAACAGCATATACCATTTTCCCATGTTACTTTCTCCTCTTTCTGACATTACTGATTGTATCAGTAGCACCACAATTTACCCAGTTTCCAAGTTAGAAACCTAAGGGTTATCTTTGACACTTCCTTCTCTCCACCTCTTGTATTCAATCAATTTTCATGTCTGGTTGATTCAAACATAATATCTCTTATATCTGTCTCCATTGCCATTCCTACTGTCACCATCCTAGTATTAACCTTCATTATCGCCACCACCACCGTCGCCTCCAAATCATTTCAATAACCTCCCGATATCTTTCTTCCTCCATTCTCTCTCAACTTTAAGATATCCTCCATACTTCTCCCAGCCTAAATCACATACACACACATAAACACATACACACACACACCTTGATCATGTCACTACACTGCTGAAAAATCTTTAATGGTTCCATATTATTTATTAAGTAAACTTCAATCTCCTTTGCCTGTTATGCAGAGTCTGAACATCCTTTTCCCTCTCTTCCTCTGTTGAATGCTTATCTGTCATTTAAAGTCCACTTCCTCCTTCACTCATCTCCCCAGTTATGAGTGTTCTTTACTCCTCACAAACTTCACAGAGTCCATTGTTTTGTTCTCTAGGAAACATGTTGAAAGAGCTTTGGATTAAAGTCAGAATAGATGTTAATCTTTGTTCTGCCTCTTTTTACCTATGTGACAATGAGCAAGTCACATGTAGGATCATAGATTCAGAATCACCAGGGATTTTAGAGGTCATCTAGCCCAATTTCCTCATCTTGCAGGTGAGGAAGCTGATGCCCGATGAGAAATTGGCTTACCAACAATTGTACAAGTCAAAGTAGCAGAGCCAGGATTTGAATCCAGGCTCGCTGACTCCAAATCCAAAGGTGTTTCTATTGCATTAAACTGCTTCACAAATGAAGTTCACCAAGTTCTGTCCATTAAGTCGCACTAACCATGAGAAATCTTAATGTAGGGGAGCCAATCTTTGACTTGTACTCCCAGTCCAGAAGGCCAGAAAATGTAATTAAAATGTGTTCACAGGGTGATAAACTACCCTAAAGATGCATTCTACACCTGATCTCTTTGTGATGGAATTAAAGGGAGTGACAACATCAGAGGAACAAAATTTTCTGGGCTCTAAATACCTAAGCCTCAGGAATAGGAGGTCACATAGAGTGCAGCAGACTCCAAAGGGCTTTGTGGAACTCAGTTTCCTCATCTATAAAATGAGATGGCTGGCTACATAATCTATAGATTCTTTTCTAGCTCAAATTCTACAATGTAACTTCCGTAAGAGTAGACATTATTTCATTTTTCAATTTTGTATTCCTAGCATCTAGCACTGTGCCTAGCACATAGTAGATACTCAATAACTTTGTGCTGATTGATTGTTTCTCTGTAATGGACTTATAAAATATGATTTTGTGTTATAGTTGACTCTGTGTGTGTGTTATCTCTTTATCATACTGTAAGCTTTATTTTGGAAGGGATTTTATCTTATCTAAACTATTTCTCTCCCCCAGTGCCTTGTACAGTGTTCTTTACACAGTAGGTGCTTTTAAAAGATTGTTGAATTCAGATGAATTTGATAGTTCAGTGTAAGCCGTGATGACTAGTAAGTAAAAGGCTAATAGCACATCCCCCCAATGGTGGGTAACTCATAATAAATACTGTTGTTGTTGTTGTTTAAATATTAAGCTTTAAAGAGTTGTGAGCATTCCTCTATCCCCCTAGTGACTTTTTGTTGTGGATCTCTGTGATATATCTTTTTATTTATTTCAGAGAGCCGTATGATCTTGGATGCCTTTGCCCAGCAGTGCAGTCGGGTTCTTAGCCTTTTAAACTGTGGTGGAAAACTTCTGGACTCCAGCCATTCTCAATCCATGATTTCTTGTGTAAAGCAGGAAGGTTCAAGTTATAGCGAGAGACAAGAACAGTGTCAGATTGGAAAAATTGTCCATAGTCAGACATCAGACAATTTAGACATTGAGATGCAATATATGCAAAAGAAACAGCAAACCTCTGCCTTCTTGAGGGTTTTTACTGATTCGCTACAAAATTATCTGCTTTCTGGGAGCTTTCCATCTCAGAACACATCATCCGTAAATGATTACAGCCATCTGGCAGATGTGGACCCTCTTTCAACCTCCCCAGTTCATACTTTAGGTGGATGGACCTCCCCAGCCACTTCTGAATCTCATGGCCATCCATCATCTTCTACACTCCCAGAAGAGGAAGAAGAGGAAGAAGGGTACTGCCCTCGGTGCCAAGAGCTGGAACAAGAAGTCATTTCACTACAACAAGAAAATGAGGAACTCAGAAGAAAACTGGAGAGCATCCCAGGTATTCTTGCTGAGTAATTCTGCAAGCATTCTGTCACTTGCCTTCATGTCTACCCCTTCTCTTGGCATTGCCCTAATTTTACCAAGGACATGGGAATGGGCATTTCAGAAGACAAAGTCATGAACGAAGTGAGGGATTTACAAAGCAAGGCAATCTGGAGCACTGTGCTGCAGCATACTTAGGGGTAGGGCTGAATACTAGGGCCCCCTGAATGATGTCTGTATCAATAGAAAATCAGTTCCTAGAAAGATGCAGTGAGACTGAAGTGGCTAAGAGTTATGATCCTGAATTTCCTTCACAAAGTGATCATATTACTTTATAATCATTTTAATATTTCAGTGATTTTGATTTATGTGCTTTATTAGCCAGTGATAGAAATGAAAATGAAATGGTACTTTCAGCACTTGTATTCAAATAGTGTCAAACAAATGACCTCTTCTTTCCCATTTATCTTCCTTGTTAAGTTACAAAATGTTTGTTTGTTTTTCAGTGGGCACACTCCCACTTAAAGTTAATAGGAAACTGAATACTAAGCCTCATAGGTCAAAAACACACCAATAATTCAAGCAAGACCAAAGATACTCACTAAACTGGCTAAGCGTATTTCCTACTTCTCATCAATGATGTACTTGCAAAGTGGCAAAGTGACGTTAAGAGAGGATCCTCACTGAGTCACAAGTTGTTTCCAGTTGGTTAGAAAAACCTATTCAATGGGTTTAATTTCTGTTTCATCTCACTGCATTTCTGGTTTATGGTCAGTCAGTGGGAAAAGATGTTTACCACCATCTTGGTAAAGAAAAATATGCTGCAAGGCAGCCCACAACTTGATTAGGGAATATGTAGGGAGGAAGGAAAGGGTTTAAAGGGCTGCAATGGCAGGAGTAAGAGTTCAGTTTTTTAAAAGAATTCCCCCAAAAAGGCCTAATGTAGATTTCACAGATGAAAAATTTTGAAGAATGTATATTTCTTACAGTAATTCTACACTTATTTCTGCCCAGATAAAATACAAGAGTACAAACCCATCCCTTTTGTCAAACATAACCTCCAGACTGAGTCCTCTTGTTCACCCTTTGCCTTGTCAGTAACTATTTACTTAACACCCTGCTGTCTCTCTAGCTACAGAAAAACCCCTGCGAATTCTTCTGCTCTCTCTAAAAATATTAAATGAAGTGGAGAAACTGAGGCCATTATCCAATTAATTTAGGTCTCAGACATTTCCATTGTGGAACTGACTGGGTTTAGGTCTGAATTATCCAGCTGATTACACTTATCAAAGTAGCCAAATGATTATTCAGCTCTATACTTCATTTTACCAGTATAAATGAAAATTTTGTCTCCTCATTCTTGACATGTTTCATTCATATCTCCCTCTCTATAGCAGTGATCATTTCTTTCCTTGTCATACACAACTCTAGACATCTTTCTGTAATAAGTCAAGTGCTTTCTAAGCTCCTTGCACTCCTGAAATAGCCTCCCAGGTCTTTTGAATCAAAAATTCCAAAAGGCCATATTGTTTTTCAAACAAGTATTTATACATTAAAATATTAGTATTGTAAAAAATAAATATGTGAATAAAAGGGTGGCTTTGATTTATGTTACATGGAGATGAACCCCATTTTTAAAAAGAACTCCTTTTCTGCCCCTTCAGATATTTTATTCAGCACATTTTTGTAATACACTGAGCCAGGTGTCTATCCAGATGAGGAGAGACAGGGGACTGAAGTTAATACACGTTAGGCCTTGGCTTCCTATGTTTAAGGAAACCCTGGAAGGTAATGCAGTCACTCCCTGTGCTCTGGATAGAATTGTTCATTGACAGTCATAGAGAAATGAGCTCAGAGAAGAGTTCAGTCTAACCTGAGTACCTCCTAGTTTCCACAGGGGCGGGGAAAGGCCCAAGTCTACCCCACCACATCTCTCTATTTGACAGTAATCACTGTTCCTATTTATAAAGCAACAGTCACTATATACTACGTTGTGAGTAGGAATTCTATGAATGTTTTTCATTCCTTCTCAGCAGTCTCCTTTGTGCAGAGGATGGGAGATTATCCAGATAGCTATTGATGGCATTGTCATTGGACAAATGAGCAGCAATGAGATAGATATGTATAGATATAGATATAGATACACATATATACACAAGCCTCCATATATGTAGAGAGAGAAATTATTAATATAGATACATATATATGTGTGTGTATGGAATTCATATTTACTCTTCAAAACTATAATCTAAACTGAGGTGAAGTGAAGTCTGCAGATACATATTTCTGATTGCTTCAGATCCTAGGACACATGGCAACAACATCCTCATTATTTTTGACAGATTGGTAGTCACAAATATTTGGCAAGCTGTCTAGACTTGATATTCATATTGCTTAGCAAACCTGTGGACCTATTCACCCCCGCATGACCTAAATCAGTGTCCTTCAAGTCCTTAGTGTATCAATAGTGTCTTAGCAATAATCACACAGTCTATGCATTTTTTATTTTTTTAATTTTATTTTTCAATTATCAAGCATTCATCTTTCCCTCTTGTCTCCCCCTATCTACCCATCCATTAGGAAGGAAGGAGGAAAGGAAGGGAGGGAGGGAGGGAGAAAGGGAGGAAGGGAAAGAAGGAGGGAGGGAAGGAGGGAGAAAAAAAAAGGAGGAAGGGAGGGAGGAATGAAGGGAAGGAACAAATGAAAAGAGAAATGCAAAATCCCTGTATCAAATGAGCATAATGCACCTAAACATATTCCCACACTGGTCATGTCCAAATAGGCATTTCTTATTTTGCATATTAATTCATCTTCTGTCTGTCATGACATGGGAGGCATTCTTCTTTATCAGTTCTCTGAAATGATAATGGACCATTTAGTTGATCAGAATTCTCAAGCCTTTCAAAATTGTCCATTTTCAAATATTGGTATTATTGTGTAAATTATTCTTCTAATTCTACAGAACCAGAGAAATTGCCCTGCATTTCTTTAATTATTAGTTGTTTCGAGCATTTTTTTTCATAAGGCTATAGATAGCCTGGGTTCCATGGAGAATTGCCTGTTCGTATCCTTAAACAATTTGTCAACTGAGAAATGGCTCTTATTTTTATAAATTTAAATCAGTTCCTTACATATCTTGGGAAGAAGACCTTTATCAGAGAAACTTCCTACAAAGAGCTTTCCCCAGTGAATCATTTCTCTTTTAATCTTAGCTGTGCAGGATTTGTTTGTAAAAAAAATTAATTTTATGTCATCAAAAACCATCCATTGTCTTCTTTTGTGATCCCTTCCTGTGTTTGGTCATTAATTCTTTCTCTATAGATAAATCTTATAGGCAATTTCTTCCTTGTTTCTCTAATTTGTTTATAATGTGACCTTTTACATCTAGTTCACATAACCAATTTGGACCTTATCTTGGTATGACATGTGAGATATTGTTTTAAATCTAACATTTTTCATACTGCTGTCCAAGTTTTCATCAATTAGTGAGTCCTTATCCCTATAGCTATGGTCTTTATGTTTCTTGAACACTGAGCTACTAGGTTTGTTTGCTTCTGTATGTTGTGTACCTAAATTTTTCCATTGATTTATTTATTTTTACCAGCACTAAGTCATTTTGAGAATTGCTGCTTTGTAGGAAAATTTTAGCCCCACTTCAACCTTTTCTACTTTTTTCATTATTTCCCTTGAGATTTTTGAGCTTTTTGTCTCTATACGAATATTGTTATTATTTTTTTCTACTTCTATAAAGTAATCCTTTGATAGTTTGATTGGTATGATATTGAATGAGGAAGTTACTCTAAGTAGTATTGTATTTTTTTTATATTGGCTAAGCCTACCTGTGTACAATTAATATTTCTCTAATTACCTAGGTCTTTATTTCTCTGAACACTTTCGTTAACATAAAAAGAAAAAGAAGACATAAATGAACTAGGTACTATAACTAAAAAAACTAGAGAAATAATCAACTGTTGTTGTTATTCAGTCATTCAGTCATGTCTGACTCTTTGTAACTAATTTAAAAAACCCAATTAAATGACAAAATAGAAATCATAAAAATCACAGGAGAGATTTCATGAAATTAAAGGCAAAAAAGTGAACTAACAAATAAAACTAGAAGCTTTTAAAATAAAATAAATAAACCATAAACTAATTTGATTAAAAAGAAGAGGGGAAAACCATGTTACCAATACCAAAATATGAAAAATAAGAATTCATAACAAAAAATAACAGAGTATGAGAATCACAACTATATGGCAATAAAGCCAACAACTTAAATAAAATAAATATTTACAAAAAAATAAGATATTCATATTAACAGACCAATAAAAATTGAAACAAACTAATTTCAGAAGATGAAATTTAATAAATCAAAAAGGAATTCCCAAAGAAAAAAACTTCAGGACCAGATGGGTTCACAAGTGAATTCTATCAAGCACTCAAAAAAAAAACCAATTAATTCCAATATTACATAAATTGTCTGCATAAATAGCAAAAGTAGGAATCCTACCAAATTTTTCTATGACACGAATATAGTCTTGATACATAAACTTGGAAGAGTCAAAACAGAGAAAAAGAACTATACATGAATATCCCTAATAAACATTGATACAAACATTTTAAATAAAATACTAGCAAAGAAGCTAACAAAAGATATAACAAAGATTATGTGCTATTCCAGGTTGAATTTATACCAGGAATGTAGAGTTAGTTTAATGTTAAGAAAACTGTAAACTTAATTAACTATATTAATAACAAGACCCATAAAAATAACAATTATACCAATAAATGCAAGAGAAACATCTGACAAAATAAAATACCCATTTCCATTAAAAACATGAGAAAACATGGGAAAAGCTAGACCATTCCTTAACATGATAAATGGCATATATCTAAAACTAAGAGCCAGCATTATATGTAATTTTTGATAAACTAGAGTCCTTTTCAATAAAATCAGAAGTGAGACAAGGATGCCTATTATCACTACTTCGGTTTGACCTAGTATTACATGAGCTG